TTTCTCCTGGTTTTCCATATGTCAACACCTTTTCAATAGCGGCTCCAATGTATTTTGATTTATTTCCTTCTGCAAATTGTGGACCCGAAGGGGGCGTGTTGCTATTAAACAGAAACACGTGCACCATAAAAAGTTCTGTTGGGTCTATTCCTTCCACTTTCGTTGCGTCAAACAACCCGATGTTTTTAATCAAATTGGCTTCCAATGTTCCACACTCACTCCCAGTCATTCCATCGACAACGAGTGATGCAAATCTTGGCATATCAGAAATAACGGGATCCGCTTTTGCAGCGATGCAACAGTCGAAGAGTGCTGATATAAACGCCTCCCGTTGACTTGAAAAGTATGTCCGTTGAGAGTTATCAGCAAAAGTAATAACGACCTGCATTGCATCATTTGCTCGGAGTATATGAACGATGTCATTGAGGGGTTTTGTGTACGTTGCTGTGTATGAATGGCTATCCCGCTCAACGAAATATCGTTCGGTGAAGCAGACGAGGATCTCCTCTTTTCCTTCTTGTTTTTTTGCCCTTATCTCAACTAACGTTCCGCCATCTTCATTTTCCGCTTTTTTGACAATCGAAGATTTCATGATTTCGTCCACTGAAATTTCTGCAGAAACAGCCATTTTCAATCCAATTTGTTTAGTTCGTGTCAAAATAGTGGAAGCTGCTTTTCTTCGTTCCACAAATTTGTAAATGACAAAATCACCCGAATCCTTCACAAAAACAATGGACTGCGTGTCCGTTGTCGGAACCATTCTCGAGACACTTGTCAACAAAATCACTTTCTCGGGTTTCCCTTGTTTTCCCGGCATTTCAGCCAATCCGTACGGCCTGACTTGCAGTGTAATGTTTTTTGCTTTTCCATTTTGTTTCGTTTTAGTGACAGAAAATGACACAAAGTCACCACTTTTCGTTTTGTATTTATACTCAAGTAATAAACACAATAAATGAGATCGATTATTTGAGATAAAATGATGTTTAGAATTATTTATTACTAAAATAAATTCCTCATTGTTTGCCAAAGACGGTTGAATCCCCGTCACGCTGTCCCAGGTCCACGCCTCGACCAGTTCATAATTTACATTAGAGATGAGAGCCAAAAATTTTGAAGAAATACACATCTGGAGGTCCTCATTGGTGATCCATCCAACTCGTTTCACAAACATCCGTTTTTCTGTTGTTTGTGAAAAGTATTTCACAGACTGAAGTCCGCTTGGAATCTTAGGAACTTCCATTTGATGTTTTTTGAGTTCCATCAATAAAACATTGGTGTACATTACAATTGAGATATTGTCATAATCAACATATTAATCTTTTATAATTAAACATAGATTTATTTAATATGATATATTGTAATTATTATTATTAATTTATATTATTATTAATAAGATGGTATCGAGTGGTGAGTATTTATTTCTTTCACTTTTTTCAATGTTTTTTTAACCAAATTATATATAATATTTATATTATTAAATTTACTATTATGAAAAAAATGAGACTTTGACAAATATAATATTAGATATCATTTATGAACTATATTTATATTAATACTATAAGAGTAATCAAAATTAACAAATAATTATAATATAACTAATAATTATAACAATTGTCTTGAAACAGGCAGTTTTGACTTTTCGACCAACTTGAAATGGTAGAGAGATGGCAACGACACAAGCTGCAGTAGAGAATTGGCCCACACTTCGCGAAATACTCGAAGACCGATTTTTTAAGCGATTATTGCGGTGTTACTTAGCGGATGAACGATCGTCAGAGAATTTGGATTTCATCGAAGCGGTTGAGATGTATGAGTCGCAGTACAAGTATCTCACACCGAAGATCCGGACTGAAGCGATTAATTTTATTAAAGAGGAGTATTTGGACCACAATGCGGAGAAACAAGTCAACTTGTCGTATCAAGTCCAACAACCGATTTTAAAGAAGCTTTTGGAGACATCGAGTGACCCCCAAATGGATGTTTTTAATGATGCAAAGAAGGCTACGGAGTACTTACTTTTCTCGGAGCAGTACACCTATTTCATCAATAAATTACAAGAGAACACCATTTCTACGACAAAGAAAGATGTGTACACTCTCTATTTGAATCAATGTCCTATGCCAAAGCCACTTCCGTTATACCCACAAGTGTTACAAAACATTATCGATACGGAAAGGAAGACAGACACCACTGTCGAAGAGAAGGTTGGGGGAAGTACCAAAGCTTTATTAGACAGTTTAATTCAGGACGAAATGTCATATATAGGAACGATCAATTCACTCTGTGAACTGAAGGAGAAACTGCTGACTAAGAAAATGATCACAAAGGAACGCGCGGGACTACTGTTGGACCATTTACCAGTGCTCTTGTTACATCACCAGAAGTTTGCGGGGGCTTTAGAAGAGTATAAGAAAGACGGAAAAGGGGATTTCGGGAGTGTATTAAACACCGGACTCCACTTTTTGGTGTTATATCGGTATTATCTGAGACGCGTGCCAAAGAACATCTCCGTTATGTGTAAATTGGTCACTTCGGACGAGTTTGGGAACGGCGCTGAGAACTCCGCGTTACCACTTTTGGACGATTTTGATAAACAACAGAAGATGTCGAAGAAGATGAGTTTGTTGTATATGTTACTCCAACCGTTTTTCCGTATTCGGAAGTACCAAGAGTTTGTCGAAGAGTTCATTAAAGCTGCGAAAAAGGAATCGAGCGACTTGAAAGAACTTGAGACCGTCAGAGCACAACTGAATACATACACACGAGTGATTGAAACGTACTCGAAAGTCCAAAAAATCGAACGGTTGAATGACACTTTACGCCTGTTGTTTCCATTTTCATTTGCGACGAAGAGTAAGATCTTTATGAATAAAAATGAGATCATGGGAATAGCTATACTCGACAAATTCGAAAGGACTGATATCACACAAATGTCAATGTCCCTTGGAATTAACAAGAAAATGACTTTGATGGTAATGACACAAGGTGTCGTAGTCACTGACTTGCTTTTAATCCGCAAGAAGAGTGAACACAAAGTCATCGACAAATCATTTAGTTCAGTCACTTTAACTAACGACATCAGAGATGTCGGGATGGATGAACCAAACAAGATTTTGTGGATCGATGTCCCCGACATCAAAAAGAGACTTTGGTTTGGATGCGAGAAAGAAGAAGAATTTAGACTCTGTTACGACGCTATTAGATCCTTGTTGTCTAGTTAATGTTCAACTCTTTATTTGATGTTCTTATTATACATTTATGGTTATTTTACTATAAAATAAACTATTGGTAGTGTCTCCACAATTAGTAGTAGTATATCGGAATGATTTATTACAATTCCATATTGCCCATGGTAAATATAATTCCTATAACCTTTGTATATTTCTATGAGCCTACAAAGAACTATAGCAAACTGAATATAGAAAAAGAAACTATAAAATACAATTCAATGGGAGCCGTTGAGTCTGAGACCCCCACACAGACATATCCCACGCAAATTGATTATTCGACATATCCACCGGCACGTGTGTTTGACGAATGGGAAGATATAGAAATGAAGTCCCCTGCATTTATCAGGCGGTTTGTGAAGAACGTCGATACGTCGACACGATTGGAGTATTGGCGGAAAATGGCGAATCCTGAGCAATACACTTTAAAGAACCCGGACTTGTTTCAAACCCTTTGTGTGCAAGCGGAGACGCGGAAAATAGCGGATGAGGAATTTAAGATGTTGTGCGACAAAATCGACATGGACGTCAACAGAACGTTTCCGAATGATCCTTTAATGACTGAGGATAAGCGATTGGACTTGCGCGATATCTTACGGTCGTTTGCGTTATTAGTGCCGAAGACAGGGTATTGTCAGGGGATGTCATTTCTGGCTGGACAGATCTTACTCATCACTGACATCCCAGAAGACTCGCTTTGGATCTTCACATTCTTCATGAAGGACTTGAATTTGTATGGACTTTTCTCCGATGGATTGCCACTTCTGAACTTTGCTGTGTATTGCATTGAGTGGGTGGTCAACACTCGAATCACTTCACTCGCAAAATATTTACAACAGAAAGACGCCCCTTTAGTATTAGTTGTCGGACAATGGCTTACAGCACTGTTCTCAATTAACTTCCAAAGAGATGTGACACTGAAGATATGGGATATGTTCTTGTTAGAAGGGTTCGTTTGGTTGGTCAAAGTCTCTGCCGCTTTCCTTTTAATTCACTCGGACTTGTTCAACGGACAGATCGAAGATATTATTATTAACTTGAGACAAACAACAGCAAAGGATAACTGGAGAGATGTCGCGCGATTCGCTGACGCAATCGTCTTCGGAGAAAAGGAACTCAAACTGTGTAAGACAAATTTCGACCAAAACAATTCACAGTAATATCTACAGATTTGTGTGTTTTCGCCTCCACAGGCGTTCGATATACTTTTGTACTATACTTTATAATATATTTTATTATACCATATAATATCAAAGGTATAGAGGAGATGAATAATAATATTTATTATAAAAAAAGAATCTATTAGTTAGTATTCAATTATACTAATAAGAAATGGTATAATTAACTATTTCTATAGTTAATAATACACTTTTTTTTTCAGCAAAAAAATTGTTTGGTTGATTGGAAATTGAAAAGCACCAATTTTGAATATATCAAGATATACAAATAAACAATAGTGGTAACAAAATGGTCAGAATGGTTGGGTAACAAAAGGTAAAACATTTCTTTTTGCATTTTTGGGGTACCCCCATTATTTACCATATTTAATATATAAATGAACTATAAACGAACCATTTCCAAATATAGATTTCTGTTGGACAACCAAAAAAGCGGTAACCTTTGTAACTTTTCTGAATTATAAATTAATTATAATGAAACTATATGGGTGTTTTTCAAAAATACCCCACAAAAACAGAGAACTATAATGAATAGTTAAATAATTATAAATGAATAGGAATAAACCTCCCCAAAAACCAGACTGCTTATAAAGAATTTGCCAACTATTAAACACAAGCAAGGAAGATGGACTCACTGATGGCGAAGATCAACGAATCTCCACTGAAACAGAGATGGACGAGCATTTGTAAGAACAAATTATTGCGGTTTGCGGTTGGTGAGTTGTTTGGGTCTTATATTCTTTTAATGGGGACACAAGCGTCTGGCTTTGGGAAATATGGGATTGTGGCCGGTGGTCTCTCCTGTTTCTTCACGCTTTCAGTCTTAATAGAAATACTTGCGCCGGTCTCTAATGCGCAGTTGAACCCTGCCATCACCCCACTCTTCTATTTATTTAGAGGACAAACGTTATACCAATCGTTAGTGTCTATTGCTGCACAATTTATAGGTGGGTTTATGGGAGTGTTGACACTCAATGGATTCTATACTGACAAATTGATAGTCTTCTCTAACGTGGAACACTCGTTTAAATTGGCAATTTCGGAGTTCATAGGATCGACTCTATTAGGCTTTGTATTGATGATAGCAACACATCGGAAGAAACATATCCCTTTCTTAGTTGCAGGTATTATCACTGCAGGCGTGTTCATCATCCCATCATGTATGATAGTCAATCCTATGATCACGGTCATGAGAATGTTCATGAATGTCACTTTCTCAATTAATCCGTTAATGGTGCTCTATGTGTGTATCGCTGAATTTCTTGGATTTTTTGTTGGCGCCATTTTAGCGGAGTTTGTTGTTGTGGAGGGCGAAAAGGATTTGTACTCTAACATCGATGAAGAGACTCCAAATACGGAAAATAAGATGAAACCAATCGGTGAATTGCCGGATGAGCCAATCGAGTTGCCTAATATTGAAAAGGCGGCTATCATCAATGATGATACCAAGACTCAAGTTTCTAATCAAATTTCTTGAATAATCAAATGTTTCTTATTTTAAAAATTCAAAGAAAGGTTTGTATAAACTATAAAAAAACTATATTTTATTATTATTAAATGATACTTAAATAATACTATAATATTAATTACTTGAGTATTACTATTAATTTAATAGTAATATACTATATTATTATAATATAGTATTAATAACTTGAATACCATTTTAATTAAATAGAAATAAGAGATTGAAAAGTTATAATTACTACTAGTATTAGAAATAGTACATTATTATAAAATTACAATATCAACGAATAGTAAAAAAAATAGTTTTGAAATAGCTTTAAAAAGAAAAGCCAAAGAAAGAATGAAGCTTTCGTTTGAAGTCACTCGACTCATCTTTGAATTGCTTTGCCTGGTTTGGCGCGTTATACACGAACTTGCATTGTTGGACAGAAACCTCATCTGCGTTTTCTAAAGCTTTTGTATTCACTGTCTTGATACCAGAACTGAGCAATTTGATTTCTTTAGCAGACTCGAACAACAGTGTATCGAGTGCTTTACACGAAAAGATAACGATTAACTCCAAATTGAGGTTTTTGGTGCCTTCAATTGTGTTCAGTGTATTGTTATTCGACACTCTCAGTCTCTTCACTGTTTTTGGAACATTTAAATGGATGAAGTCGCATCGTGTGAAATTGATTTCGACGAGTCTCGTCTCTGACAAATCGATATCATTTGACATAACGACGTTTTCCAATGAGAGTGATACCAAAGAGTCTGGGATCACATCAACAAGTTTCATTCGCAAGGAGTAAAACATCAAATTTAAGACCACGACATTCCTCAATTGTGTTTTGAGTGATTTGGTTAGTATTCCTTTATTCATACAGTCACTTATAGATTGTATCGAGAGTATTCCATACAACTGAATCACTTGTTCGATATCATTATTTTGAAGTTGGTCTGGCGACAAGTACGTTCGTTGATCTTTTGGGAGTAGAATAACTCTTTTTGATATGATGTCGTGGATTGGAAGTGTTGTATATTTACAATAGATGAAACACTCATTAACTGGGAAGTACTTCATACGCATCGATTCGATCTTCTCCACAGTCTTCTCATCAACATCTCTGAAGAAAAAAAGAATTTTAGTTGTTGGAACCATTTGGATGTCAACAAGTCTCTCACAAGTTCCATCAACGTCGTCTTCTATATTGAGTACTAACACTTTTAAAAGAGGATTCTTCTTCTTCAATAAATATTCATTGGAATTTCCAAGAGTTAATGCCACCCGTTGTAAGAAATCCATCTTCAAATAGAATGGAGACAATTCGGATTTCACACTATAATCAAGAGATGTCAAACGACTAATCGAAATGCTCTTAAAGTTGTCGACAAGGCCTTCAAAATACTTTGCGGTATATTGACTCCAATAATTGATAGCAACACGGAAGTCTAAAGTCTTTAGTTTGTCGTATAATGCGGCTTTTTGTTCATCGGAGTATTCAGACCCTTCAAGAGATGCCTTTGAGAATATAACAGTTGGGAAGCTTAATGTATTAATTTTCTTAAAGAGAGAAAAGATGAGAAATAGATCCGACAAAGTGTTCACTATCTTTGGAGGGTTGGTGTATAAGTCCTGACACGTCTGGACACACTTCTTACTGACTTGAATGAAGTTCAAAAGGACTTCGGTGTTCTCAAAAAATAAGACGACATTAAGGAGATACACTCTCTCTAGCACTACTCGTTTCTTCTGTTGTTGTTCCATTCTCTGTGATATCGTGTAATGATTTGATTGATACAGTTCTTTGAATCTTAAAAGTACTAAAACATGGTATTTTGAAAAAGTTTGAGCAATTGGTTGGATGGTATTTAATATAGTATATTATATTATTATATAATAATAATAATAATTTTATACTATACTATCACATGAATCAGTCCTCAACAACATATGTTACTACCAAGACATACACTTTGATAAGATTATTCTTTATTAATATAATTGATTATATATTAATTAATTATAATTACCAAAATAATTATTCCAATTAGTTAAGATTAATTAATTTTAATTATTATACATTTAGTTAAATTATGGATTATAAATAATATATTATATCATATAGTACATCTTTATTTAAAAATATTTAGAACAAATTATATGGTTAATAAATAACAGTTTTTACTTATTTATAAAAACATTTATCATTTTATTTTTTGTTTTAAAATAACAAATTATTTTTACTGATTTGGTTTGACTATTTTTAATTTTTTTTGAAAAATATTTTTGTTTTATTTAAAAATAAAAAAAATCTCAATGTTCGAAAATATATTAAGTTCAGATTGTTACATAATTAAATAAAATTTTTTATAATATTTTTAAAAAATATTAACAAAGTTAGTTTTGTATCCATTTAAAATAGATTTGAAAACATACAATTTTCTGAATAATCCCAGTATAGAATTATTATAAAATCAATCTTTGAAACACTAATTAAATAAATAATAAATTAAATATAAATTAAACTATAAATTATCTCTATTTTTTTGCCGTTTTAAGTAAAAAAAGCAGATTGATTTTTGCAGAATAAAAGTAAATTTAAACCAAACAAACAATAAAAAATAGAAAAAATAAAAGAATCAAATCAAATAACAATCAATACATAATAATAGACAATGAAAGGGAGAGTGTAACTGTCATCTCCAAGAATGGGATAACATTATATATTTATACTTGGATAATTGCCGGTTTTGAACACCTCTGTATATCATTATAGAATGGTATTACCACTAATTCTTGCCCGACGACAACGACATCTAAGCTGTTGTCCTTTTTCTGCAGCAAGATATGTTGTATTTCGTTATCAGAAAAATCATCGTCGAAAAGATTGAAATAGGACTGGAGTGGGGTCTCAATATGCGATGTTGATTTGGTGACTTTCCGATTCATCACAAGAAAGATCGAGTTCGAGTTTTCTAAACTCTTTGGTCGTGACTTAGTGAAACTCATGTTTGATTCTCTTTTAAAGTTACAACTTTATATAGTCAATCTTTTCAAATCTTTTTTGATTTATAAAATTGGGAAGTCCAATTTTTTTTCATCCAACTTACTATTATTACTAATATTACAATAGTTAATTTATAATTTAAAAAGATGAGTCTGTTTTTAGTTAGAGAAAATGTTTTTTTCTCATCTGATTTGTAACTCTGCTCCCACTTCTTGAGATGTTTTTTAAGTAAAATTCAAAAACTAAAAATAGCAAAAATGGTCTGGTCTGTTATTTCTTAGTTACATTGTCAAAAGTAAAATAACTTTATATTATGTAAATAATCATTGTTTAAACGGGATAAGTGGCGAATAATTAAAAAAAAAATTTGATGCAACGATACATTATTTCTGGTTTATAAATAACACCATTTTTTTAACTAAAAATAAAAGCCCATAAATTCCGTATGGGTTTGCCCGAAAAAAAACGCATTTTTTATTTTTATTTTTATTAAAGTTATCAAAATTTCTTTTCCTATAATTTCCCTAAAAATATGGGATTTCCAATTAACAATGTTTTTTCTTGTACAGCTTTAAATTTTTTCAAATTTTCGGGATTCAGCCCAATTTATTTTTTTTTGAAAACAAAAAAATTAAAAAAACATTGAATTTATATTATATGGTATATTTTACCTTTTAATTTTATATTAGAAACCAAATACCCAGTTTAATCATTGCATTTTTTAAATAATGTTTACACGTCTCTCCACGTTTCATGGTTTTAGTTGGTAATTTAATTTAAAAGAGATAAAAAGAAATAAAAAATAAGAGTAAAAATAATATGCTGAGATTTTTTTCAAGCAAAAGTGCAATTATAAAATATACGAACCCGACTTTCTATAAACAGGGAAAAACTTTTGTTTGTATTTATAATTGTATTAAATAGTTTTGCAAATAAAAAAAGAGAATTGCCAAAACCGAGATTATTTTTTAACAAATATTTCGTCAATTACATCAAAATGGGCAAAATAGGTCATTGGGTATAAATACATATTTTTTCTTTGATAGTAAAAACAATAAAAATAGTAACAAAAAAGATATTATTATTTATTGCTTTTATACTAAATTCAAAAGTTCATTTTTTAATAATAAAAATAAATAATAAAGCTGAATGCATTTTTTTAAACGTCGTTTGAAAATCAAAAAAAAATGTTTGAATAATATTTTAGGAAGTGTAATTGGTTTGATTGTTTATTCCCGAACCTTTACCGAAAAATTACTTTATATTAATACAATTTTATTTAATGTACAAAAGTAATGTTAATAAATCTTGGACTATTTAATAATTGCTTTTAATTTTGCATTAATTACACTTAATACGAAAGGCGGTCAGTTTAAGTTGAGTAAAAGTTTATTTTTACAATGATGAATGTTAATGCAGTCTTATATTAACGCTCAAAACGTTAGTTTTCAAAAGAATAGTATACTAAACAATGGATTATATAATATAAAAAACTATTGCTTTTACACAATCAAGTTTAATTATTAAAGTGAAACGGCAAGAATGTTATTTGTACGGATTTCGGTTGATTCAATAAAATCAAAACGAACAGTGTCAAGGGTTTGGTCTGAAGAACTCAAGTCCAAATATTGTTTGATTCAAACATTGATAGCAAACTAAAAGAAGCAAATTGCCATTGAATTTGGTTTTTAAAAAATTTAAACAAAATTTAATTTAAAATGGGTCAATATTAAATAAGATATAAATTAATTAAATATATTTCAATTTATTATTATTATAACTATTATAATTACTATGATTATGCAATTTAAAGTAAAGTTAAAGTTATTAAAGTTATTAAAAGATCTATTTATTTATAAAGTTTGTATCAATTCATCAAAATCTTGGAAATAATTAAAACTCATTATCTCAAATATTCAATCTTTTAAATGACGGAACAAAAGGATATTTTAGAAGCAAAAACAAACGAAAAAAACATTGAACCTCAAAGCAGTGAAAGTAGTGACAGTGGTGAAATGGTTGTAGGAGAATGTACAAAAGGCAGATCTCTGCTGGATGGAGAGGACAGTGACGATAATTATCCATCAAACGAAACAACTACATACCGATCATTTACAGCCCAAACCGCCGAACCCTTAAAATCCCCACAAGACAACCAAGCTGTTGTTGATCAGTGTAAAGTCCGGTACGAAGGTAAAATCAAAGAAAACGAGAGCTGGGACTGGAAGAACGAAAAGTTTTCAGATGAAGAAGAAATTGAACTTGGTGACTACGAAAAGTTGCATTTTGGAGATGAGCTTTCTGATTCTGAAAATGGGGAAGATGAGAAACTAGAAAATAAGGAGGAAAAAGACACAAATGATGCCGTTGAAGAAGATCACAGTTCAATGATCAATACTCAAGCTATCGACAAATTTTTGAATGATGACAGTTTTGAAGAGTGCCACAAAATGGATGGATGATTATTTATATTTTTGAAACTTAAATAATGGTTATTAAAACTAACCAACAAGAAAAGCACCTTTAAATAAGTAGAGTTTGTTTTATGAGTAGTTAAAAATTGATTTTATAATAAACAAAAGAGTACGTAAAAATTAATTTAAATTGAGTTGAGTGAAGTCGATATCTCCTTTCTTGACTCTTGAGTTCTGGACCAACCCTTCGAAATTCACAAGACTGTCAGATTGGTAAGTCTCTTCCTTTTCTTCTTTATCGAATTTGTGGTTGTTCTTTTCTTGTCGTTCCTTGAGTTTTTTCGACGCATACATCTCGTCTCGATAGTCCTTAATATAAAAGCTTGAAGAAATTCCAGTGATCATCATCGACACAATTGTGGACGTGTGTAATATTGTGAATAAAGTATATCTGAATGTGTGACACTCGATCCTATTGACAGCATTCTCCCATTTTATTGAATTCATTGAAAGACAGAAATTGTGGCCTTGAATCTGTTCGTGGACAAAGAAAAATTCGCAGTACAATGAATAAATCGTGTTCAGAATACACACCAACACAACCTTGGAGTCAGTTAATGTTGATCCATAAATAGAACATTATTATACAATTATAATAAATATATTATAAAACAAACTATAATGCACAAGTTGGAATATTTCTTTATAAGTACGATGTATATGATCCCCACAATAATTGAGATGATTAGAACGCAGCTAATTGCCATCTTAATAATATTTGATACGCCCATCGGGCAACTGTACTTATACCCCGCCGAATTATATGAATATGAAAACGAATGGTATGCGTTGAATGGAGGGGTGCCACACCGTGTGTCGCCGACATTAAAGCCGTTCAGCATCTACCCATGAATCCAATCTATAATATATTACTATGTAAACTATAACTCATTAATGTGTCAACGATGTTAACAAGACCAAACATTTCGAGCTTTTGCTCTATCATATTCTTGTGGCACGTTGATTAAAACAAAAGTCATTGTGGTCATCACAGCGAGCACCAAAGTGATGACAACTAATAGGTGGTAGAACATCTGGTAGAGTGTGCAACCCATCTCTTTTTCAAATTCAATGTACTTTGCAGTTCCTTTTGAATTTTTCTTTTTGTTAATAACATTTGAATAACACTTTTTATTTTTAGAAAAAGTGGTGAGAAGTTTTGATGAGAGAAACTATCATTGTATAATAACTGAACTAAAATATATACTATTCACACATTATTTAAAACAGACATTCTAGTTACTCCAAGTTCAACAAGAAGTCTTCGATACCTTGTTCATCGCCACTTACACCGTCATCCGAGTCATCTGAACTTTCGCTTTGATCTTCACTTTCTTCCACCTCCTCGTCTTCAAACAGAACAAACACCTTTTGCTTTTTGAGGCGTTCTAGTCTCTCTTGTGGCACTTTCTGTGTCTCCACAAATATTCTGAGAGCGGTCGTCTTCACCACGTTTTCAATCATATCGAAATTGAACGGCGACCCGTACCAAAACAAGACTTGTAATCGGTTGAGTGCTAACACTTTTTCTTCTGAAGCTCCAAGGACTTTAGAGAATCGGATTTGTTCCAAATTCAGTCCATCGAAGTCTTGGACGATTCCATTGTGTATACACAGTGTTTTCAATTGCGTTAGATTTCTTATTGGTATTTCCACATTGACGTTATACAGCATTAAACTCTCCAATGAGTTCATTGTCTGTAATACGTCAAAGTGGACAAATTCATTAACTCTTTTGAAAGTAATGTCTCTCACCACATTCTCATACTCATCAAAGAGTCTAAAATTCTCACAATCAAATCGCTTTGTTGACACACAGAAATCACTGTAACAGTGTGGGAAGAACGACGATATTATAGTTGCCTGCAGTCGTATGTTATTAGAAAATATGGACACCATGAAAGGTTTAATCGAGCTCTTTTTGAGTTGTTTAAACTCGCTTCTGATCTCTTTCAAGATATTCTCTGGGATTGGGGCGTTCTCTTTATTTAAATATATTTCGGTGTCAACATAGAACTTTTCGCCATTCGTCGCGTATTTCATCACTTCCGAATCGATCCCAAAAAATCCATTTGTTTTGATCTGTTTGATATTGCAATTCACAAGTTGAGTCAAGAACGCATCATTTGTTATATCCGTTCTCAGTATATCTAACACACTCAATTGAGCTAATGAAGACACGTGGAAGATATCACTGAAGTTGTCGAAGTCGCCGCGCAACACCAAATTTGTCAAAGTCGTTGTTTGTGTGTACGACGTGATTGTGTCGTTAAAGAGTGTATTATCGGCGACATAGACATTGAGCCGTTTTATTTTGGGTAATGAACTGAACTCCGGCGTGTACGAAAAGACTTTCAAATTTGTCAACTCGGTCAGCACGGAAAGGTTGCGAGTGTAGATATCAAAAGCACTCTCTCGGTTCACTACAAGTTCTTTTGATATAGCCAAGTCCTTTAATTTTGGCTGTGTGTGAAGAACGATATCAATGTAATCTCTCGACGTAATTTGTGTCGACACTTCATTCAAAAAACAGAAGGCAAGACGTGTTAAAGAGAGCGACGGAAGTATTGTTTGAAGTGTTGAATATGGGACACAATTTGTATCATCGAAAACTAAACTTCTTAAGTTCGAGATTTGGGACACTTGAGGGACTTGAGTGATAAAAGATTCATAAGATATGATTTGCATGGAACGAAGATTGGTGTAAGAAAATTTGATGGTAGGAATAAAATCTTCTCTGAGATTGAGAAAGTCCATCCCATTAACACAACGACCACATTTCTTAGAAACTTGTGCTAAATTTGCTAAGTTGTTAATTGTCAAATGAACAAAGATTTGGTTCAAACAGATTGCACTCAATCGCGAATGAACAGAACAGGGTTGTGTCATTGATTTGTGAGTTTTTTTCGGTATTATTTTATAGTAATATAATAAATCAAATGAATTAATTTTACTATAAATTAGTTATTGTTATAATTATTGTGTGGAGAAACAGAGTTTTTCAAATTGAAAAAATTATTAAAAAAATCCAATTTATTTTTAGTAATTATAATTAAAATGTTTTTTTTTTCTTTTGTAATTTTTTTTGTGAAAATTATTGTCAACTTGTGGAGTATAAAACTGATTTAATTTCTAATTTAATTTAACCATTTTATATATATTTATAAAAAATGTGCTAAAACTTAAGTTCGAAATACGAATTATTTATTTTTAAATTATTATATTTTATTATATTAATAACCATAATATCAGATATTAAAAAATGGTTTATTTATATTAAATTTTATTATACAAAAAAATAATATAATTTTTACTTTTGGATAAACTATAAAATTAAATAATGACAATAATAATTTTTTTTTGTAAAAAATTATCATAATTAAAATTATACATAAACAATATTAAAAATATAAATTCTTTTTAACTAAAACTTAGTTTTCAATATTAAAAAATTAAACAAGAAATATTTTTTGTAAAATTTGTCCAATATCGTCTTTTCCTTGTGATTTTTTATCATTTTTACAACCCTTGGAATAGAATACTAATAAATAAAACAATGTCAGAAGAGCAACCGAGTAGTGCATCTGCAGAGAGTCGATCAAAAGTCCGGAAAGAGATTCGTTCACTTTTACAAGAAGTTCAAGAAAATCGTGATAAATTAGCAGATCCCGACAACGATGACATTCTCAATATAGTCCAACGGAGTACACAAGTTTTTTCCCAAATTGATCATCCACGTGAAGCCGCCCTAGATGCCGAGTGTTTCACGATGACGTCCAATGTGACTTTAGAGAAGACGCAGCGTTTAAAGACTGGGTTTCGGACCTACGAGATATCGAGTTTCATCACGAAGTTTCGTGAGTTGTATTCTGAGTCGAATGAGATCAGCAGCGACCAACTCTTTAAATTTGGTACCGATTTATTACAGAGTGGGTGGAGAGTAGCTCCATACTATCCGATCATTGAAGGGAGTGTAGTGGAAAAGCAGAAGAAAGAGCGGAAGAAGATCGAGAAAATCGACATAGGCGAAGCAGTCAAACCTAAGACGATGAATGCGGATGATTGGTCTGCAGCTAAAGAGACTCCCGAACGTATTAAAACGATTAAACAACTTTTAATGAAAGCGCGCGAAGCCCCATTTTTCGAGTTTGTGTTGAACACGGAGAGCTTCGGACAGACCGTCGAGAACATTTTTTATTCGTCTTTTTTAATCAAAGAAGGGAGTGCAACACTGAAAAATAAGAAAGGAATTCCTTTTATAGCAATTGCGGAATTAAAAGGGAAAGCAAAAGATAGTGCGACGAGTCAAACAGTATGCACACTCGACTTCGGGATGTGGAAAAGTTTGGTGGAAGCCGTTGGTGACCACTTTGTTCAAACAATACCAACACGAGAAACATCGGCTGATGCCTTGAAAGCGATCCAACAGTACCAGACACAAAGCTTTTATAATGAAGAAATAGTTACACAGTCGGGCAAAAGGACGGTCAAGCCGAAAAAAGTGAGGAAGACCCACGACTGAATTCTGTTATATTGACTTTTTGTTATTGAATCGTTACTTATTTTTCTTTCTATCTACAAGAGAACAAGTGAAACTGAAAAAGAGAAAAATGTCGGAGGGCTCGGAACAAAACGCTTTGGAAATTAATAAGGTCTGGACCTTCTTGGATAAATCCCATGACTTCCCTATGAAGAACGCGTTCAAGTATTTTGTCCCAGCAACAGGAAAGTTCGAGCAGATGCCAACTAACGCGCGACTTTTACTTGTCGGGTGGGACGGATTTTCGATATTAGAGTCGACTTGGGTGTTATGGGAGACTATAGAAAAAAGAAAGAAGTACGACCCAAAAAGGGTTTTAAAACAATTCATAGAGACAAATACATTGGATAACACACTAATACAACCGCCACTCAATAAAGTTCTTCCCGCGAGAGAATTGATGCCCGAAAAGATTACATCGTCGTGTATTGATGAATCAACTACAGAGATGTTTGAAGTCAAATGGGTCAATGGAGACGAGATCTTCGTGTCACAAGAAGAACCCATCTTCTTTCAAAGACCCCATTACAAAAGACTACTCGAGAGCTTCAGAAATGTCGTCCCCAATTTCGTCCCGTTCAGTTCAATCAAAGAAATCCCAACCAATTTAGAAAGTCTGGAGAATAAAGACGACGTGAAGAAACTGTTTCAAACACTCCATGACGGCAACGCCGTTATTATTAAGTCGACAGACCCACAAGAACCCGCGAGCGATTTCATGTTTAAGTCAGACATTCTTATGTACTTGGGAAAACTCTTTGAAGCCGGAGCTAAGGGTCCACATCTGATCATCACAGACGCAGAAAATTTCGACTTCTATCAGGAGAATATACAACGACTCGTACCAAAGGCATATTCCACGTTCATTAATTACAGCGGAAGTCAGAAGGAGGTCTATCAGGAAATGATCGAGAAGGAGCTGTACCATCCGGACACTAATGTAGTCAAATGTACGTTTGTTGTGATGACCACAATGTTCTATAAAATCCTCCCAGAAGCGCAATTTGACATTGCGATTGTCGACACCAATCCAGACGTCTTTTTTAAAGCGCCATTTTTCATTGAAAACAAGACGTTTGTCGTGCTGAACGGAGACTTGCCGTTCGATGAAACTGCGATGACGAGTCATATGACTCGTCGGAAGATTGCGAAAGTCGAGACGATCATACGAGGGTCTCAGTTGTCCTATATTAAATACATCGACGTGCTTCTGAAGATGGAGCCATGGCAAAGGAATATTTATAATCCTCTTTTAGAACATCTTAAAACGGCGGATCATCAGCATTTGAATGTTGTGGTCGAAGAGATTAAAAGAGTCTTAACATATGCACAAGGTGATGGGAAAGGGCCTGGGACTAAAGTGAGTTTTGTGAAGAATTTGATCAATTGTATGTCACAGAAAAAGACGAGTGTGTTTGTGTGGAAAATTGCGGTGATTGGCGACAACGATAAAGCACTCCAGTTCATTGCTAACACATTCAAAGCGAATTACATCTATTGGAAAATCGATACGGAAAGAAACGAAGTGATTTCGCAGGTCATGCAAACGACGTCCCAAGTGGAAGCCACAAAAGTTGTTGAAATGTATAAAGCAAAGAAATATGATGTGAGCAAAATAGTGTTGAACAACACTGTTGTATGTGTTGACCATAATTGTTGTGACACGAAAATCGATTTAAGTTGTGTTGACATTGTCATTAATATATGCAACGACTGTTCACCAAACTTCGAGAAGAACATCCGGAATCGACTCCTCATCGCAACGAAAAAGCCGATTTTGGCGTTCGAGCCGTATGTCAGAAATTCGATTGACGCGATTACAAGTTCGATGAATGAGAGCGACAATTCATACACGCCACAAGAACAAAATGAGTTGTATCAAAAACTTGTGCGTGACAATTTGTATGACTACGGATATACTGGAGAGATTGTCGACATCCCTCCGGGTGACTTGAATCTCCAGGAAATCATCATTCGATACACAAGAAGTGAAAATTTGCAGCTTGTGTTATATGAGAACTCCGACGCGTTTTCGTACATCGACGGATTTTTAAAGAAAGGCTCCATCACGAACACAATTCCTTTGGAAGAGTTAAAAAAGATGGAACAGGAGAATGGGACGTATATCCCACGCGCTCGAATCGGCTCGAAAGACCCATTTGCTGTCAGACAGAAACCAAACATCAAGAAGACGTCCTCTGGAGTCACGAACAAAGATCGGATATCAACTTTGTTCCCGCCAGATGTCGTGAAAGTCCCAATCATATCGGAAAGCCCTTACACCAAAAATAAGAGTCAAAACACTTTCATTCCCGTCCCATCGAAAGTCCTCATCACGAACGAAGATTCGGATACTTCAGACGAGGAAACACAAAAGAACAATGGAAAGACAAAGAAGGCAAATGCGTTGGAACAGATCGCACAAACGTTTTATCCACTTTCGAAGGGTCGGCCTATTTCACAGATAGTCAAATTGGTCATTTCGGCAATTAATAAGTTTGGGGCTGATGTCTTGGACTGGAACGTCAGTTTTGACGAATTTGTCCCACTGTCGAAGCCCGAATTACAAACTCTTGTGGACAAAATAATTCAGTGCAAAGAGCTGGACACCTCCGTCTTACAAAATGTCGAGAAGATTAAAATACTGTTCAACGCGTTGAGATACATAACGACGAAGAAGAAGATGCTGCCATTCCCAGAATCGGATTTGAAGTTCTGGGATTGTTCGTGTGACTTGGCTATGCTCGATCAAATAAAGAAGTTTGGGTTTGGTGTGCCTTCACTGTATTTGAATGATATGGTCATACAATGCGTGATCAAGTTTGGTGGGCTGAAGACCGACCAAGAGAAGGAGAAGTTCCTGAATATCAGAATAGACAATATGGTGAACGCGTATAAGGGATTGGAATTGGTGAATAGAGCGTAATAACTCGGTTTGATTTGTATAGTTGGTTGTTCGAAAGAGTTCAAAGGCAGTTGATGCATTTCGAGAGAAGAGACAAAGATATGGATTAGAAATACTTACGAATGAACTTGAGCACTTTGTGCTGCTTGTCCTTCACCATTTTCTGGATCGAGCTATTTTGCAAGTTGCCAATGAGCATATTCACTGCGTCGCTTTCAGGAATGGATAGGGCAAAAGCGTCTGTCAAACACTTAGTGACGGCGGCTTCATCAAATTGTGTGTCGAAGCCAAAGACTAACACCGAGAGACGAATGATCATCCCAACACATCTTCTGAGTACCAAGAACCCTGAAGTGCAATTTTGCACAAAAAGATCCCACGCGCCAATCTTTGATTTCTCCAATGTCACAACGGTGTTGTTCAATGAGGTACGGATGATAGTTGGTATTGCAAAACGGTTTGCATCGAACTTCGGTCTTAAATTGATGACGAAACCAAAGTCGATATGAGCAAATGATTTGTCACATAAATGGAACTTCCAATTTTCTAAGTGTCTGTCTCTTACACCAAGGCAATACGACGCAATAAACCCGCCCGACAACGTCGATATCATTGTCGCCATCTCCTTTGGCAAATACTCATCTATTCTCAAGTTGATTGAGCACACAGGACAATCCTTATTTTTCATTGAAAGTTGTTCGAATTCCCATCCATCGGGACAGCAGTGTAATTCGGGGTGTTTCTGGCATGCACAGACCTCCTCGATGCACCCCAACATTTGGAAAACGCCCTCCTTTGGCCCAGTTGGAACCACCGAGTACGTCACAGCAATTGGTTTGCACGTGGTGTTTTTGTCGAAATCAGTTGGATGCGCTAAAAACGACTCTTTCAGCCATAACACGTTGAACACATTAAACATCACTTGGACTGCCATGTCCCGTCTCAAATCATCTCCGTATTTGAACATCACTCTTCTTCTTTTTTGTTGTCCGTTTTCGTTATCTCCGTAGTAAAACATCAGAGAAATGGGTGTTGTTGCTGATTTATACGACTTCAATGCGATCATCTTCACCAACACGCCCTCCCCCAAAAACGGATCACAGTTTCCCGTGTAATTCAGCACATAAACCCCATCTCTTTCAAGCTCCAAATCGTTTTTCTCTCTGATTTCTCCTGGCATGAAATTTCGATTCAAATACAGTGTAGGTCTTGGCGCTTCTTTTGGTAATGTCAAAAGAGTATCTCTAGCTCTTGCAATCCAGTTGATGATATCTTCATTTTGGTAATTGATCGATTTGGTCACTTCGCCTCGTTTGTCTTCCAGCTTTTTTCGTTTCTCGTCGATCAGTTGGAGTAAGTAGCAGACGTCCTTCACGCCCCCTTCGACCAACTTACAAAACACAGGATCACTACAGACACAAATACCTCCCGCGCGATGCAACCAGAATATTCGTGTATACACATCTCCATATTCTATCGCAGTTTTAACAACAGCTTTTATCAACGTGATTTTGTATTCGGAGCGGGGTTGGATGACGATGTGCCGCATTAACAGTGGGAGGTACAAGAGATAGTTCGTGTGTTGTTCGGTGCAGTAAGTTATGATTGTTTTAGTCTGCAACGAGTCGAGAGAAATTTCGTTGAGGAACTCATAGGTCTGTTCAAAATTGTCCTCTGAATTCGCCCCTTGAAGACTGGTCTTTCCGTCGCACTTACTCATTCTTTCATTTTGAGTTGATTCTTTTCACTTTTGTACCATCTACTATTAGTATTATTATTATAATTTTACTACTCTTTGACAAGATTTTGTTGAGGTTATTTACTTTACTTTATATATTCTTTTATTATACTGTATAGTTCTCTTCATTTATCTTCAAAACACCAACTCAAAGTATATACCGGAATTATTTTTAGCATCATATTGTGATCAGTGTAATTCCGGTCCGAATTCAAAATTCAGAAATGCCGATAAAAGTATCAATTAAAAGACGATCAAAAAGATGATCAAAATGAGAGCTCCAACCAGAGTAGTTCCCAATGTGACTTGCATGACTTTTTCAAACATATTTAATTGGCCGACAGGTACTTTATATTTCGAGACTTGTGGTTTACATGTTGGGCTTAAAAATTGGTCTGGTTCACTTATTCCGCATGAATAAGGGGTGTTCTTATACCCCCTCTCCCCTCTTCTCTTAACTGATTCAAGACTTCTTCCTTCAGTGCAATTGTCACAGGCAAAAAAGACCTCTGGGGGTGGGAAGATATAATTCTCTTCGAACAAATCATTGGCTCGGGCTTTGTGGTACCGCAAATGGATCGGTATTTGGCGTGTTCTATTCCGTTATTTTCAATCTACCACATGTATTAGTTATTCTAATAATACCTTTCTTTTGTGTGTGATGAGAAAACGATGTATTACACATTATAATACAACTTCCTATTAAGAGTAATACAGTAAAAAACAAACTCAATCGACTTGACTTTCTTGAGATTTTTTGTGATGACGTGTGCCATTCGTCCTGTCAAAATTGGTGCCTCCAAGTCCATTGGTTCGTACATGAACACAGCAATCTCCTTTTGTCTCCTCTCAATCTCGAGCATTTGGTATTTATCAATAAAGATTCCCTGTGGTACAGTATATACTGCATAAACGTCCGTCTTATTTGTTGTATTAAAATTGAAGGTAGTGATATCGGTAGTGAGATGAGTTCCCTTTCCTTTCAAATGTTGGAGGTATACCGGTATCGGTCGTGTCGCTCGCAAAAGAGAAAGATCGACCATCTCGGCGTCTTTACCCCTCTCTGCAAAGTGTGTGAATTTACAGACGGACTCCTTCGTGCTACTCATCAGTGTCGTTTCACTCTATAAATCATAAACTATATTTTATAGTTATTTTATTATAAATTAAACTAGAACATATAGTGAACAAACAAGTAGTCTTTCCCACATGAGTTCAAGAAGTAAACGTTTCTGTTGTATGCCTCGCCCTTGCTTGGGTATTCTATATGTGTGCTTTTGTTTGAGATGGTGTCCATCTCGCAGAATTCAAATGTTCGATTTTTGAGATCTGCGACAACTCTCATATACACTGTCGTTGCGTTGCCGCTAAACTTCCAAACGTTCTTTGCGTCTTCCAAGTGTTTTTGTATAACTTTGTTGAGCTTTGCGAAATTGTTGTTTTCCTCAAATTGCAAGTTTTGGTCTTCGAAGACACTTTTCAAGTGGAATTTGTCATTGAAGAGGTTATTAAATTCGTTAATGGTATAAAAGAATCCATTTGGCTTTTCTAAATCTTTGTTAATCCCATAGAAAGTGTTATACAAAGGATCATAGATCTTCGTGTTCACCTTCCCAAACCTGACAACTTTAGTCTGTGTGAAATTGAATATGGCATCTTCCATTACCTTCTCGTGTTTCATGTCGCCAAGAATGACATATGTGTTCGAGGCATACGATGTCATCAATTCGCTCGTTGCAGAATATAAATGTGCGTCTTTCACTTCTCTCTTTAAGACATACCCAACCAAATCTATTCCACTTGGAAATTCTAAAGATGTCGGAATACTCCCATTCGTACAATAATGAACAACAAGTCCATCGTCGGATGATGTCAATTGCTCTTTATCTATCTCAAATTTCAAATTGGAATCCTCGGACCGCGGGAGGACTATAAGATCGTCCGTCTGTGCAGACAACGTTAAAGTGACTGCAAGGAGAAGTACTAGCATTGTAGATTTCTCAGTTTCTAGTTTCATATTTACTATATGAATAGTATAATTTTACTAGAAAAGTACTTCTTTCTTCATTGATGAATTCTTACAGTAATTAAACGCAAAGAGTCGGGAGACCAAAACCCTTAATTAAGTGACTCAGAAATTTAAAAAACAATTGATGGAGTCGATCCAAATCCGTCTGGTCAATGGCGAAGAGACAAATTCCGAGCCATCCCAAGTCTTTCAAATACCGGAGGACACGACGCCAGTGCAATTGAATGCACTTGTGAACAAATTGAATAAGACGGAGGAGGAACCCTACCCATATTCTTTTTACACAGAAGACGCGCAGATTATAGAAAAGGTCCCAAATAAAGGAAGCGAAGAAGTTGTAATTGTCACGTACTACCCACAAGCCATTTTCAGATGTCGACCTATAAGTCATAGTACCCACACTATGACGGGGCATAGTAATTCCATTCTCTCATGTAAGTTCTCCCAAGACTCGACGAAGTTGGTGACATCGAGTGGGGATCACACTGTACGCCTGTGGGACTTAAATTCGTGTACGCCCATCACCACATTAAAAGAGCATGGTGATTGGGTACTTAATGTTGATTGGCATTATAGTGGAAGGTATGTAGCGAGCGGTGATAAATTAGGTAAAGTGATAATATGGGAAGTGAATGAGGATGGTACTGATGCGAAGAAAGTGAGTAGTTACTGTCACACCAATTTCATCAGTGACATCCAGTGGAAGCCACAAGTCTATGGGGACGATTGTATCTTTGCAAGTGCATCGCGCGACTTCTCGACGAAGATCTATGATGTGAAGAGACAAGAAGTTGTTCGTACTCTTGGTGGGCATACACAAGGAGTGACATGTGTACGTTGGAGTGGACGGGAGAATATCTTATATACATCTTCACGGGACCGCACCATTAATATCTATGATGTCAGACAATACAATCCAATCAATGTCTTACGGGGACATTCGCATTGGATCAATTCATTAAGTCTTAGTACCGACTATGTCTTACGCCAAGGAGGATATGATCCACTTGAGAAAGACAAAGGCATCGATGGGGCAAGAAAGCGTTTAAATAAAGTGATAAGTAGTGGCGGAGGAGAACGTTTAGTGTCCGCAAGTGATGATGGCACTTTATACATGTGGATGCCGACAGCATCACAAAAGCCTTTACATCGACTCGTCGGACATTCAAGTCAAGTGATGTCGTGTAAGTTCTCGCCAGACAGTCGTTACATAGCAAGTATGGGCTGTGATAAAAGTATTAAATTATGGGACGGATTTAAAGGAACATGTTTACACACTTATCGTGGTCATGTCCAAACAGTTTATGCCTGTGCCTGGTCACCCGACAGTAGAATGTTTGTTAGCGCAAGTAAAGATAGTACCGTCAAATTGTGGAGCGCTTTACCTAATAGTAGAAAACTATTAAGTAATTTACCAGGACATCTCGATGAAGTGTTCGCAGTGGATTGGTCTAATGATGGATCAACTGTCGCAACAGCTTCATATGACCATACTATTAAAATATGGAGGTGCTGACATTTTTGACAATTTTTTGATTGATTTTTTTTATTAGTATTTTATTAACTTTTTACTATAATTAATAGAATTTGTTGTATTATAATTTTATTATTTTATTATTATAAATATGATTTGTTTTATTGTTATTTATAATTATAATATAATAATATTTATACTATTTATTAATAAGTAATGATTATTTTTTTTTATATTGAAATGTTTTAAAATTGATTTTTTGAG